GCGTTGTTTGTCGCCTCCATCAAGTTGCGCATGTCGGCAATAGGGCTGGCGAACTCCGGCATGTGGTATTCTGGGCAGTACAGCACCGGGAAGCACGTTTCGCCAGTCACTATGCCCGCCTTCAGGAAAGCAGCCTCTGCATCGCCATCGTTCGCAAAGATGCCTGCGTGTTTGCGTCCTGTGGCAATACCTTGGGCTCCCGTCAGAGTCGCCATATCTACGAGAATATCAGGCGTGAATGCAAGCTCGCTCGTCGCGTGAAAGACACCGTCACCAAGCACTATGCGGCCCTCCGCATCAGTGTTGTTCACCTCCACCGTCTTGCCAGACTTCATCACCAGAATATCGTCATTGCGATAAGAATGAGGCCCAATCGCATTCTCCGCCAAGCACAGCGTGCAGCTCAGCTGAACTGGTTGCTGCAGGCGCACGGCGGTGATGAAGCCGCAGAAGACTGCCGCAGCACCTCCCATGTCACACTTCATCCCGGTCATAAAGTTAGACGGTTTCAGCGACAGGCCGCCGCAGTCATACACAATGCCTTTTCCGACCAGTGCAACCTTCTTCTTCGCTCCATCCTTGGGTGCGTACGACAGCGTGACGAGGCGTGGCGCCTCAGGTGCGCCTTTCCCCACCGAATAGATACCACCGTAGCCACGATCGCGCAGCTCCTCACCGCAAACGACGTCAATGGCGCATCCCAGGGTTTTGGCATAGCCCTGCGCGATCTCTGTAAATGTGGCAGTGTTCAGCAGATTTGTTGGGGCGTCCACGAGGCGCTGGCAGAGCTGCGTGGAGGTCGCAATGACGGTCAATTCTTTCGGTGATGGGTTAGGAGCAGTTGGGAACACAACTTCGATGTGAAGGGAGCTGTCATAGTACGCCTTCGCTGCCAAGCCCTCCTTGGCGGAGAAGTTGTGCGTGCAGCCACGCGCCACCGCAACTGCAACTGCAACCGCAGAAGTAGAGCGCACGAAAACGTCTACTGTAGTGTTGCCACCCTTCACTTCCCCCAGCGCGGCTGTCACGATCGAGGCAATCACGTCAGGTCGGGCAGGGCAGTTGGTACGTGAAGCCTTGGACGGTACCTCGCCAACCATCACGCGCACAAACTTTGCGTTATCCTTGTTTTTAATGCCCTCCGCGAGCACCCCAAACGTACAACCTTCGTTCACGCGCTCAATAGCTTCTGCGACAGCCGGGCAGTAGAATGGGAGCTGCTTTACCCCAGGATCCCTCAGCTGCGCGTGGGTGCCGATGAGGACGGCGAAAGGCGATGAGAGGCCCGATGTGTGGCTTTGCTTGTATGCAGCGTCGTCGGTAAACCGAACATTGGTCGTGTAATTGACGCAGGATTCCACAAACCCGGACATATCACTTTCTGTGCGAGGACGTTTGGTCATCTTTATAGTTTCTTTCAGTTGTTGTTCTTGTTTAGTTTATTTCTTTGTTGTTCGTGTTGAGCTTTAGGTTCACTATCGATAAAAACATTGTTTAACACGATACAAATCATGACAGGACAGAACACTATTGCGCAGCAAGACGGATGGAACTCAAGGCTCCTGTCGCCAGGTACATCGTCAAAGCAACCTGATGGAATGGTTGCGAAGAAAACAGGTTTACTTGCACATACCACCTCTTTCTCTCTCACACCGTCGCCTTCCTCACGCATGGGGAAACTTGTGATTACAGTGGCTGAAAAAAAGAGAAGGCACCCAAGGAAATACACGGCGCCTCACACAGAAAAAAATAAGACACAAGAGAGCGCAATTTACACAACACATACCCCCCCGCTCCTGTTTTCACTGCGGCAGCCTTAAGTTTCTCAGTTCCCTATTTTTGTGATTTCTTAATTTGCCTGGTTAAGCACATTTTCACACAGCGCATGAGAAAGGGGAAGCGGCCGATGCTGTCATAAGGATTCCCATCGCCATTGCGCAGACGCACTATAATCACCCAAAAGCCATTTTTTCTTCATCCAGTTGCGGAGGGAGTTTTCTTTTGTGTGTCTTCATATCTCCCTACTCCTCGGATTAACAGCGGAAAAACAGACACTGGGAAAGGGGGGGGGGGNGGGGGGGGGGGGGAAACGGAGGCGAAGGAAAGGAAGGACCACAACAACGATTGGGGGAAACGGAACGCCGGGGCCTTTGTTACGCCACTCCCCACAAGCGCAGACACACCGTCAGCTCCACCACCCCCATGGAAGACACCAAGCAAGTGAGGCACCCAACGAACTAAAAAGATACAAAATAGGAAAAGACAAAAGGAAAATAGATGTTTTCTCGCACCGTTCATAAGAGGAGATGGGCAGAGCCTAGAAGGGAAAAGAAGAAACGTAGACTTGTGTGTTGATACCTACAGAGAGCAGCCGCACTAAATTTCACTTAAGAGACATCTCCGCTCTTCGGATTCCCTTCACTATTTACGCGCTGCCTCTCACCCCTCTGTGTTCTCTTCTTGTTTTTTTTGCTTCACATAACACCCGCTTCACCCCGGTCAAAAAAAGATGGCATGCATATAGCTTTCTTCACTGCACGCATTCCCATCTTCCTCTATTTATTTCTCTCCCACACCCTATCACCCACTCTCTCTCTCTCTCTCTCTCTCTCTCTCTCTCTCGCCCACACAAAGCGTGCATGTGTGATGCGCACCGCTTCGTCGACTGCTCAGCCGCACAGGGCGAAGCCCTCGCGCCCCCTTTTCCAGCCCCCCACCCAGCGCTGCCGTGAGTTGCAGGTCAGGTGGGCCGTGCGGCGCGTGTGGCGAATGATTGCACTCCCCGCCGTCACACCCGTCACCGCAAGCACATGACGCTCGTCCTCTCATCGGCACGCCGTGCAGAGTGGCCAATCAGTAAGGAAGGAGAAAAGAGATGGACATGAAATGGTACAAAGAATGGACGAAATAAAGACACAAACAATGTGAATTGAACCGAGGTGCAGAAAAGGCGGTGCAGCCCAATATATGGATAAATATAATGACATACACACATGCACATATATATATATATATATATATACATGATAGTAAAACAATGTATAGCGACACTACGAGAAATACCGAACACATGGAAGAGTGTCAAGGTCTGCTTGCACGGCAAAGGCGCTCCCGGATCGCATTGTCGTGAGACTACATTTTCTCTGCGTTTTTATCGCATTTATTTTGCAATATGTAATTACGATGAGACTCTCATTCCGTCGTCATTGATCAAACTCATTCCGTCTCGCTGATCATCATCCGCAATCCCTTTCTCGCACATCGCACCATCATTCATCTCATTTTTGTTTGGTGTGAAGAAAAAAAAAGACAAAACACATTTCCTTTCTTTCTCTCACACCTTCTCGGGTCTCTCGTAAACCACGAGAACCCATACAATGCTACAGCAATAAGTCTAGTTATTGCCGTTGGCGCGACCTTACACGGTGGCGCTCCATTGTGGCTATCGGGGCGATAGAGTCAAAGGATGGGGGGGCCGGTGGAGATGTCACCGCCGCAGCGTTCACACTCCGTGAAAGCTCCACAACCAACGGCATGCACGGTAGTCCGTCTGTCTGGAAGTGGCGCATCTGCTGCGGAAGCCGCCGCACGCCCTCGCAGTACTCCTTTAGCCGCAGGTACTGTTCCATGTTCTCTGCGTACCAGAAGCCGTGCCGGTCCATCAGCACACGACACCGCAGCTTGTGAATCAAAAGCCATACCTCATTGGTGCGGACGAGCGTAATGAAGGATGTCTCGGAGCGTGGCTCAATCCCAACAACAGTGGCGACGTCAGGACCGCATGTAGCCTCAACAACACGATTCAGCACGATAATAGTACGGTCCCGCAGTTCGCATGGAAACATTTGAATGAACACAGGTAGCACCTGACACTTGCTTAATTCACAGTTTGAACCGTTGATAGGCAGTAGCGCCGAATCTATTTCCTTGTTAGAGGCTGCTAGGGGCCCTTCAGGTGATAGTAATGGGTCTTCGATGAGTGGAGACAAATTGTACGGCACATACTTCAGTGCCCCCTGCAGACCACCGTGTGCATTGCCTATTCTACGAGAACCGCTGGCGAGGAAGTTAGCACCCGAACGCTCTGAATGCGCCAATTCATCAATATCCAATAACGACTGCTGTGGACTGCGTAGGAGCATGTTGTGAGACTGGCTGCACTTGGGAAGAGGCATCTCTATACTTTCGGATCTATGCTGATCCAATGCATGATTTCCGTCCTTTTTGTTGCCACAACCGACGATGCTGTCGCAGTCGTCCAAACCACTCTTGAATAAGATAGAGAGTCCCTGTGACGCGCTTGAACAACTGGTTTTCGACTGTGTTGGGTACCGCTCTAGTATATGCACTGTCTCCAACACATTTTGGTGTCGTGGCAGGGGTGGGGGTTGGCGAGGAGCACCGATAACGTTGTAGACGGGTGATGCGACACCATCTCTTCGGTCAATGTTGGTGCCCCCACGGGTGATGCCGAGCGTACCTCTTATCGGGCTAGAGGATGTATTGTCCGGTAGTGCAATTTTCTGCCCAAGTGATGGCCTGGCATGCATCATGACAGGCCCCACGTGCACAAAACCTCCAGAAAGTGAAGCGACCTTGACGTTGTCATGATTGTTACACTTCAATTTGGGTGCTCCATTGTCCTTTGGAGAAAACGTCACATCCGATACAACCATTGATGGCAAGTTCCCAGTGCCGGTGTCACACCACCTGCTGCCCACAACTGGCACACTTTGCATACCATCGCTGGAGGCAGATGAAGGAGCGGTGGGGACACCACCTGTGCCGGCAATTGCAGATGGAACTGCACAGGTGGCAAGCTGGGAAAATGGGCTACAACGCAGAGGTTTAGTGGGCGCCTCGGGTGCACCGTCGGCGAGCGAGCTACTCAAATCGGGAAAGTCAAACGCACTTTTGTAAAAGCTACGTAAAACGTTGGTGGTGGAGTCATCAGTCTGAGGTTCGTTGGCCACATCTGCGGTGCCGGTAAGATCACCCCACATCGCTGTGGCAGACGCACCGTTGTGATTACTACTAGAATGCTGTGCAAATGGTGATGCGTCCAGCGGGAGAGTGTCAGCATCGGAATGTTTTTCCTGTGAAGCCATTATACACACCTGTCACCACGCTGCCTCCTTTGTTTTATTTGTCACCCCTTGCTTCAGAGAATTAAAGTCTATAAATCAGTCCTACCCGCTCAGGCTTTTGTTTTTGTTTCCCTCTTTGCAAGTGTGAATGTGTGTGGTCACACGCTCCTTGCCCTTTACTCTGCTCTACACNCCGCTCAGGCTTTTGTTTTTGTTTCCCTCTTTGCAAGTGTGAATGTGTGTGGTCACACGCTCCTTGCCCTTTACTCTGCTCTACACGATTGGCTAATCCAATGGCACTAAAACCAAAAAAAAAAGTGAAGCAAAAGAGGTGTGTCGTCGGGTCTATGCATGTGCCTGACAAGGGACGCGTACACCCCAGCGTGCAAAAAATCAAAGAAGGCCAGTGAAGCAGGTGTCAGTCGCACCACTTGCTGAGTCTAGTGGTCATTGACAGAGCAAACGCTTCCACTCCGTTTTCTTTTTCTTTCTTCCTTCCTGTTTTCCATGTGCACGTTTATGTATGTTTTCTTGTGTGATGGTGTGTCTGTGTCTGTGTGTGTGTGTGGGTGTGTGTGTGTGTGTGTGTGTGTGATTACACCCCCCTATTTCCCTCTTTCCCCCAACCGTTTTCTTTTTGTTTCGATCTCTGCGTCGGCGCGGCACGAAGCCACCAAGGGGGGAGGTACACCCCGCACGGACTGCCGTGAAACAATGAGGGGGTGGCGAGTGCAAAACCCGCAAGAGTCGCCAGCACACACACACACACACA